CCATCCCTGGAAGTGTTCAGAAAACGGGTAGATGTGGCACTGTAGGACATGGTTTAGTGGGCGTGGTGATGTTGGGTTGATGGTTGGACTGATTATCTTAGAGGTCCTTTCCAATCTTAATGATTCCTAGTTTTTACTTCCATTATAAATAATCCAGCCACCATGCTAGGAAACATGAAATTGCTACTCTACCCTTAATTGGTTTAATGGTGGACTTGGTAATGTTAGGTTAATGGTTGGACTGGATGATCTTAAAGGTCTTTTCCAACCTAAACAATTCTATGATTCTGTTTTATGTACATTTTAGTTTATGGTGACTTAAATTGATTATATATGATGCGTTCAGCCTACTACTGTTACTGTACTGCACTGGATATATTTCAGAGTTAATTCTTTTACTCCCATTACATAAAGCACAAACACACACATAAGAATAACATTCTAACCTCTATATGCTGAGCATCTTGATTTTGTTTGCTTTAGAGCGTAACTTACCAGAAAGCACAACATATACTGCATAAGCATCATTAATATGTGTTTGATGTCACTGCTTACCTTACTGGCTCATGCCCCAGAACATGGCTTGGGTCTGCATCTGTAACAGTTTTTTACTTCAAGTTCTCAATTTCCTTTGTCCACAGAAGCTGGCTAAACAGAAGACAGATAGATGGTTCTCTCAATCGAACTCCTGCTGGATTCTATGATCGGGTGTGGCAGATCTTGGAGAGAACCCCTAATGGTTTAATAGTGGCAGGGAAATTTTTACCACAGGTAAAACCAGCAGAGATACTCAGTTATTTCTGCTCTACCTGACTATTAACAGTGAATTATTTTATCATTAACGTCTATTTTATGCCATAGTATATTATTTAGGGTAATTTATTCCTGTTATGATTTAAAAAAAAAAAAAGAAGTATTTTCAAATTTTCTTTTTGGTTCTGAGTAAAATACAATTAGAATAGAACAAAATTCAGTTATTTCTGTTAAAACACAATTATAAAGGCATAAGTTTAAAAGACCCTTCCCAAGTCATGGACTCTGAAATCTACTCCCTTTTTGATCCTACAGTGGTCATATTTCTTAGTTGAGTATTATTTATTCAACAAGCAAATAGGCTCTACCTGGGGGTGGTTTTGATCTAATGCAAATGGTCTTTGAGTAAAAGTATTATTTGTTTTTCAGCAACCAACTTTATCGGATATGACGATGTATGAAATGAATTTTTCCCTTCTAGTTGAAGATATGCTGCAAAATATCGACCAGCCGGAATATAGGCAAATTATTGTAGAGGTCTGTGGCCTACAATGAATGAAATTTTATAATGTACATGAGTACGTTACAGCTTAAAAAAAAAAAAAAAAACAGTAACCAAGGCTCAAATATTTGAAGAAACAGCATTTGAAATATAAACACTTGGTTCAGTTGGTTCTCCTTAGATTTTGTGTGATTAAACAGGTTCCTGTTAACATGTTCAGAATACACTAAGTTCTTGATGTTCTTTCCCTTTAGCAAATAGATAAATATTAATGACAGTGCCAATACAACTAGGTCACAGGAGGTGAAAAAAGAATACTAATTCCTAATTAGCTTTCCTTCAAGTCCCTAGCCCATGCCTTTTCCTAACAATTTTCTAGGTCTAGGGAAAAACTGCTCTAAAAAAAATGAAGTTTGCCCTGCGATAGATTCTTCTTTCCCATTTTGCTGAGGCTGTCTAGTAAGTTGCTTTATGCTACTGAATCAACTAACTTCCAGTTTCCTTCTGTTCCCATATGTAATAGTAAAGCAAGAGGCTGTTTAAACTCCTTCCCCACCACTGCACATAATGTATACTTTTTGAACAGATCAAGAGCATCTGTACCCTTGGTAACTGACATCTGTGCTATCAGCAGCTTTGTTGTATTTCCCAAGTATATGCCTCTGGTGCATGTGAGAATTCCTCCACAGTAAAATCAAATCTGTCTCAATTCTGGCTAACAACTAATGGTCATGCTGCTTGCTAGAACATCCCCAATTTTTGCTAAAAGATAACACCATTATCAAAACCCAAGATGACCAATATAGACTCTACTGCCTGCTTGTAGTTATTATGACAGGTCACTTGTCATGTTCACCTTCCTATTTTAAACCTCTTTCAGACAGAAGGAATGAAAATTCTCTGGAACCGAGACTTTCTATTGGTGTCTATTGACTTGGTTTTTTATCAGCTTTGTCATAGTATGATTATACCATATGTGATTATGCCTCAAAACATGAAATGCTGAGGTTCAGCATTTGCTGCTTTTCACCCTCTCCATTGGCTGAGCACCAGCATTTGTGCAGCCACACAGTGAACTGAATAAACTGGAAAATAACTTCCCCCTGGCTCCCAGCAAAGTTAGATGTTAATGTCAATCACTTACACAGCACCCTTAACTAGGTAGTCACCAGAAATTGTAACCTTTCATCAAAGCCTGCTTTTTCAGTGATTCTTTTATCAAAGTCAGAATTCTATTATCTGTGCCCTATCATTTGTGCCATTATTAAATGGCTTCCTGCTTGAAAGAGGCATATGCAATTATTAATAGTGCTTTTATGTAACCTGAATTTTAACAAATCAAATTTAAAGTCTTACAGTCTTTTTCTGCCTTCTAGTTGTTGATGGTTATATCTGTTATTCTGGAGAGAAATCCTGAGCTAGAGTTCCAGGACAAAGTGGACTTGGACAAAGTGGTGCAAGAAGCCTTTCATGACTTTCAGAAGGATCACAGCAGTCCAAACGGAGCTGAAAAACAAGTGAGTAAAATATTACTGTCTTACAGAGTTTACCACTCTTATTGAAGTTATAAATGTTAATTTTGTGTGGTTCAGAATAAAAAGCAATTGACAGGAGTTCAGCATGGAACACAAATAATAAATTAATATACCCAATTGCTGCATAAGTCTGCAAAGAGCCTATAAGCAGAGATAAAAGATGCGCACTTTATTGCTGAATTGTGAATTCAAACTGGTATGGTAAAGAGAACGCTCACAATGTTACATAGCTCTGAAATGAGAGTCTGGGTAAAGCTGAAATAGTTGTAGTACTCATTAAAGGGGAAAGAATTAATTAGGGGGGACACTAGAACAGAGAAGAGTTAAGAATAACAGAAAAAGAAAAAACTAAAGCTCAGCAAGGAAGCGTGAACTTAAGATCTTATGTACACAGATGCTAAGAAAAGATTTAGCAGCCAAAGAACTCATATTGGCAATACCAATGTAAGAACTTGAAATGCAAAACTGTTCTTATGTGCTAGAGTTGCATTCATGACCTAGCAAGCTTTTAATCTCTAAGGCTTAAAAGCCAAATAAATTAATCTTGATCATTAAGTAGCTTTTAAGATTTACTTCACTGGGATTTTAGGTTTTATGCTTTAAAGACCTCTAAATATTCTCACTACAAGTTTTGGTGCCTCAAAGCCCTGAAATTCTGTAATAAAGCCAGGTTCATTGAACTGGTTGAAGGAAGAAATATGAGCAAAGCCGTGGGACAAGTCCCTGTGCTACTGAGGATGATCTTACTTGCTCCGTCTGGCATTTTATTGTGTGCAGTATATTCTGAGATAGCTGTGCTAGCTGTGAATAATCAATTGATTCATAACATATTGATACGCGACAGCACTTCCTGTTGCTGAATTTAGCTCCTTCAAAAGATGAGGAAGGATGTGTTCCTTAAGAATTCTTTCAAAAGTTTCAAGGTTCACTTTCTTGCTACTACTTTTTTGTAATAAGATTTGAAAGCAAGCCAGATATCCAGCCTTAGCAAAATATCACCTTACACAATACCTCTCTTTTTAAAAGAACACAGTTTTCTTGAAATTATTATTATTTTGGCCTGCCCGTTTTGGAGGGTAATGACTGTGGTTGCAGCCATAGCAAAATCAGACTTCTCATCCACACAAATGGCTATTAAGTGCCAGCTCTGCACAGTATCTAGAATATGTCACTGACTTCTGTGACAAGCTGGAAATCCCCCATGGCTATAAACAGAAAAAAAAATCCCATGCAAAGCCCAGTTTTTAATGGATGCTAGGGCAGCATCAGTAAAGTGATGAATTTTTTTCCAAGCGCAGATCTACTTAGAATGATGCCTTCTTTCTCTTAGAAAGAAATCCCAATTTATAGTTGTCAATAGTATCTTTAAGATTGTTGTTGGAAATTCCCACTCCTTACATTAAAATTTTCTGGAACCTGACTCTCCCATATTCCCATGTATATGCATACAGGTATATGCCATACCTGTATGGCAGGTAACTGTAGCCTATTTAGAATTGTTCTGATGATGTTCTATCTCAGGTTTTCCTAACAAACGTTGCTAAAAGAAATCTAATTTGTCTGAACTATGCTCTTCCATTAACAAAGTTCAAAATATTTGCAAGTTAGTTTAATTCCCTGCTAACATGTAATGAATGTCAAAGTACTTACTCCAGTAATTTCAAACACACCCTAAAACTACAGAAGTCTAATATTTTCACCACACAATCTCTGCCCTTGATTAATAAAAGGAACCAATTCCCTGAATTAGAGTTGAACCTTTATTATAGCAGCCAACATGTAATTTGAGAATAAGCAGACGTTTTAACATCACTAACTGTGCAAAATAGGTGTTCAGTGAAGGAAGCCTATATTGTTGATCTGATTAATGAATTGGTTAATGTGCTACCTGTGGTTTGGTTCTTGAATTTAAAAAAAAATTTGGAAACATCTTTTCCCTCTCCTGCAGGATGACATGACTGCATTCTACAACACTCACCCAATTGGAAAGAAGGGAACATGCAGCTACTTGAGTAAAGCTGTGATCACTTTATTGCTGGAAGGGGAAATGAAAACAAGTAATGATGATCCTTGTACCATTAGCTAAAGCTTGAAACACAACGTAGGAATTGTTGCTTTATTTAGTGTTCTATGTATCTTTCATGCATATATTAAAATACTGTTTTGAAGAGTAACCCTGGCTAATAATACAAATGCATACTGTCCTTTGCTGAAAGAAGTGCCATTAAAAATACTAAGTGCCACCTAATTTTTTCCTTTCTCAACTATGCAGCATGAAACTCTGAGCACATGAAGTTAGTCCTATGATATTTGATTAGGTTGAATGGGATTGTATTTATGATCTTAAATTATGCATTTAACATAGTTGGTAACTTCAAGAGAAATGCAGTATGAGATTTTGTCTTTATACCTCTATTTATAATTACAAACAAGCTTATTGTAAATTCTAGATGAAATTCAGAAAATACCATAATTAACATGTATACCAATCAGTGTGGAAAATTGGATTATTTTTTTTTAGTTATTATTATTCTACACGCAAATTGGAGGTGAAGGTTGAATAGTTGTTATTCTTTAAAGTTTTTCTGTATCAGTTCAATTGACAGCCTACATTTAGTGTTTTGGGGTTTTTTTTAAATTTACCAGTTGATAATTGATATACAGGTTTCATCCTAATAGAGCAACTTTTTATCTCTAGCAATAAATATCACTGCAGTTTCCCAATGGTTGTTTAAACATCTATAAATTAACAAGGGAAATGTATGGTAACAAGATTTAAAAGTTTGTTTAAAAAAGGGGCAAACAAGCTGTATTTAAAATTAACATCAATGAAGAAAAAACTGTGTATAACATAAGCTATCAATACATTAAAGAATTCAAGATACACTTATTTATCTCCTAAATGTGTGAAAGCACTGTATGCTACATGCTTTATTTTGGTGAAAGTAAAGCAAAGCAAATGCTTGTGGGGAAAAAAAAAAAAAAAAAAAACTGTCAATAAAAATACTTTAAGTTACATGCAAAGACTCCTGTTGACTTTAGTGGCAACCTTTAATGTGATACAGAAACTGCCTTGAATGGATCATTGAAGTGCCTGTTTTAGCAGCACAAAATATACTAAAGCTTTAGAACTGGTCCTCCAGTGTTTTGATAATTAAATTAAGTGACCAGCTACAACTCAACTGTGAATAAATTGTTGCCATATTGATATTAAAGGCAGGTAGTTTAACTTACTTAGAGGGCAAAACAAATGGCAAAAGTGATGGAGTGAATCTGGTCACAAGAGGAGTATTTATTTGAACACACCTAGGCAGTGGTTAGTACTTCCCTGACTTGCAGCACTTCCCCAGAAATCACAGAATCAATCCTTCTCAAACCAAAATGGTAGAAGAATTTGTTGTTGGAGGAGGACACTAAACCATTAACAAATCTCTTGTCAAATGATGTGGAGAATTAGTTAAGGTTGGAAAAGCTAATTTTGGGCTACCAGAGTAGTGGTCTTACTGCTTTTCCTTGCTGTAACACATTTATCATTCAAAGAACAGTGGAGAGGAGGCAGCGGGGATGGGGAAGGAAAATCCAGAAGAAACACAGTAGTTGCTCACTGTTGGGTACATTGCTGTAGTGTGTTAGTACATTTAATAGTAGAGCGTTGGTGTGAGGGGCTGCAGCATTGCTCTAACTCCAGCAAGGCGGCTACAATTAAAACAGCAGACTTGGTTGGCAGCAGTTCTAAATTCTGATTGAGCCATTAGTTTAAACAGCAATCCAACATATCCTCAAATTTTTTCGTTCATTACTGCCTTAGGAGTTACCAACTGCAATTTAAAAAAAAAAAAGAAAAGAAGAAAAAAAAGGCAAGTGGAATTCAAGTGTTGCTTGCAGATCTACACTCCACAGCTGGTCATGGATCAGAGATTACATAGGTAGCAAGCATGTCTATTTCTAGTGGTTTTAAAAATACTCTTTAAAATTGATGTATCTCATGCCATACAAACACAGAACATGAACAGAACTCTTGCCTACAAACTGTAAATCCTACTGGAAGGAAACAATCCTTTAAATTAAAAAGCTACAGATTACTTCAGGAGCACCGCCATTTTGCTAGACAGTAGCACTGTTGTTCGGTTTTGCAATTGCTTGTGATTTAATACGTAACTGCACATTAATTCTTCAAATAGCAGGATAGCAGTTTTGTGGTATTTTACATCACCACTCTCTTCTGCTCTTACTCCTTTAGTACCTCCAGTTACTAGTAAGGCTCAAGTTTGCTGATCTTGGTCTGAACTGCATAACTACAAATGAATGAAAACCCCACTCACCACGTATACAAACTTGGAATGAAAATGCATTCAGACTGTTTCCATTTTCCTTTATACCCTTGAACGCATGGTTTATGAAGTTGTGATTGTGGCAATTTTTCAACTTCTACAAAATAAAGCTAAGTACCTAGATTAGAAGAGGAAGATACCAGAATCCAGCAGAGTCCACATTCTCTGAAAAAGGTTCTCATGTCTGGAAGGACGCTACCATTATTTTTTCTCTTCTCTTCCTGAAGCAGGGACAAGAAAGGACCATGATACAAATGGCTCTCACACAGCATGCCTACTAAATTATAGTTTTAAAAGACAACACAACACAATTGTAAAAGAAACTTAAAGTTTTTCCTAAAGTAAACATTTTTCCTACATTATAAATTGTTTGAAATCACCGAGGAAAAAGAAACCTTGGTGAGAATAAAGAGGGTAGCAGAAAATAAATGGTAATCCAGATAGATAGTTTTTAAACAGCCATAGCTCAAGTAATGTGTGGTTCATATTTAACAAACTTGGTCCTGATTTCTTTGAAAGCATTCTGCTTCAAGATGACAAGGAAAGAGATGCACTTGGGGTTGCAGACTAATAACCGGAGGTGCAACAATCAATACAGTCCCCTGTGTACTTACTTACAAGAGCTACTGGCAATAGAGTTGCTACAGCCATTAAAGAAATAAGTCCCAGAGGGTTCAATATTGGTTCACACCATTCAGTTACCTTATTATATACCTTCATGGTGCTCCAAAATTTGAAAAACCATTCTGCTTACCAGGGGAAGTAGGATCCATTCAAAGAATGGGAACACAATAGCTGAAACAGTGAAAAGTAAAGCTATTAGTAAAAGCGGGTTGTTTTTAAACATGATTTTTTTTTTTCCAAATTCCTTTATCAGATACTCTTGAGAGTAATATCAAATGAATTCAGCTAAGCAACCCACAGAAAAAATTTCCATTTTCCTCTGCTATTAGAAAGAGGGGAAATACCAACTTGCAGTGGCAACTGCTGATGTAAATACACATAATTCAATCCCCTCTCCAGTCTCAATCACCTTTGATTTTGCCAAAACCATCATTTTGACACTGTGGATTACTGCAACAGTTAATAGGTGTCATGTTCACAGTACATCAGACATTTCAAACTGCTCTGCTCATCGAAAGAATTCAGAAGGTAATAAGTTGATGTAATTCAAAGCTGACTTTCTTGGCATTTTTGCTGTTAGCTTTGTTGCCTTCCTCCATATGAATTTTCAGTCTTACTTTGCCTGCATATCAGTTTGTGCAACTGATACGGAAAAGAAGTAGACAACCAGATTAATAATAAATCAATCGCTGAGAAATCCTCTTCATTACTTGCTAATCCACCACAGCAGAAAATGTAACAGATCCTGATTTGAAAGGGCCTTTGTTGGATCAATCCTGGAGCATGTAACGTGATGTTATCAACACACTGATGGTTGGGGTGTTTTTCTGAATAACATTTTGTCATCAAGGTCTGTCAGCATGCAGTGTATTTGGTAAACAGCAAGCTTAGGATTAGTATGATAATACCATTTAGATAGCTACCAGTCTGCTTTTGTAATTTAGGTCTCCTGTTTGTTTGTTTTCACTGCTATTTAAAATACTTCTGTGGACCTTACACATGGAGTTCATGCCATGAAAATTCCTCAAGAAATCATTAGCATTCATGATCAGTGTCATTTTATATACGTCCGACAGTTTCCAAGAAAGTCTACCTGCTTGACCAACAGCATTTTTGAGACTTAAAATTATCCTTCTGTAAAAATGCTTTTCAGGTACATGGATATTACAGTTCTAATATCACTAGAAGATTATATTATTTTTTATTATATTTAACAAAAAAAAAAAGCAATACAGTCAGAGCATATACCTAGAAGAGTCTTTGTATGCTATTTTGTAAGAGGAAAAAATAAATGTACCAAAAGAAGTAGGAGTTGTGGGGGAAGTCAGATGCCTAAAATACAATTTAAGAAAATACAGAGGTGCAATTAACTCCACTGAAGCCTGTAGATCTCATCCCAAAATCAGTCAAGAAAATGTCTTGATTGGATTTTTAGATAATTGTGATCCACAAAACCCCTGCCAAACATATTCTCCAGAAGTGTGACAGCTTTTTAAACTACCCCTAATGAACTAAGCCTTGCCATGGGAAGAGAAAATTAAATAAGCAAGGAAGACAGTCTATGCTCTGGCATAAACACAAAACGCAACAGTGTTGTGAAACCCTGCTGAGAGCTCAAAGGAAATGTGCTGGATACATACACCGTTCATACCTACTTCTGCTCCTTTCACACTCAAACAGGAGAGAAGTCACTGGTTGTATGTGTGAATATGGGGAGAAGGTAAAAGGGAAACACAGCTGGGGTCTTAACTAGGGAGAACACAAAGGATTCACCCTTAGTGTTGTGGTCTTCTGTTTTTGTGGCTGTTTGTTTTGTGCTAGTGGAATAAGGAAGTTGTATTCTTTTCATTTACCTATGTAGCAGTCTGACATTAGGAACTATAAATGATAGGTATTTTAATTCCACCTGAGCATGTTTTCCTTTTGCACATTAGCAAGAGGTGGAACAAAAAACAAATGTAGAAACACCAGATATAAGGAGTGTAAAAATCTACTTGTGGTGGGTCTTTCCTGAATCAGAAAGACTCTCCTAAAAGGTTTGCAAGAGTTCCTTGTGTAAGCATACATAATGCTTACATAGTACACAGTAAATGCACGCTTCTCACAAGGGAAGGCGAAGAGAGACAAAACAACTTCCATTGTCTTCACCCAAATAAACAGAGGATTATTTTTGACCTGATCTGAAAAAAAGTAGCAGTTAAGTCCCTTATTTCGTAAAATAACAAGTCTCTAAGACAAGAGAGATGCTATTTGGAATAATGTTTCCTGCTGGTGCCAGACAGTAAGGATTGAGGTCACCTAAGCCTGATCCCTACGGGCAAGGGCATGAAGCTTAGACAGCCTTTTTAGAATGCCACTGGCTAGTGATTTTAGTGATG